TCTGGACCAGGAGTCACTTCTGGTGCCTGGTGGGACAGGAGGGACGACAATGAGCAAAAGAACCCAGAAAGCACGAAATTCAGCCCTTTGGAGAGAGGAAAGTGGAAGGCAGGAGCAGTTGAAAAGGACAAGTTCAGAGAGGATGTGGGTTTAGTGGGGATAAGCACATGGCACTTCGTAGCTTTTCTTCTTGTCTTATGCCTTTTCCATCACTTTTACGGGCTGGTATGCAGACATTTGTTGAAAGGACTCTTCCACCTGGATCTCATTGAAATCACGCAGCCTTTCTCTTCACTGAATATTTTTCTATCGCAGTAACTATATAAATGTTCCATTTGTGATGCAATTGTTCTGTTTCAGATTTTCTTTCCTAAACTAAAAACGAGAGTTACTCCAAACATTCGAGACGATGGCCTGAATGTCTTGCTTTGTATGATGAACTTTTTATTTCCAGTGGTTTACATTTATTTTTCCTATTTAGTGGTCTACCCTCTGGCGCTCGGTGGAAGCTCCAAACGGCAAGGCTTGCATTGAGAAGAGGATGGAACAATGCAGAGCCTTACTTTGGTTATAAAAATTTCCACTTTCTAGAGAGAAGCCTGAGCTAAACAGAGGCAGCTTTTACTTGTTTGGAAATGCTATCGGGGTCCTTATTTCAGTTGCTTAATATTTCTACAGCAAACAACCAGCTTCTCCCAAAATCACTTTTAGAAAGAAAATACCGGGCCGGGCGCGGTGGCTCAAGCCTGTAATCCCAGCACTTTGGGAGGCCGAGGCGGGTGGATCACGAGGTCGAGAGATCAAGACCATCCTGGTCAACATGGTGAAACCCCGTCTCTACTAAAAACACAAAAAAGTAGCTGGGCATGGTGGCGCTTGCCTGTAATCCCAGCTACTCAGGAGGCTGAGGCAGGAGAATTGCTTGAACCCAGGAGGCGGAGGTTGCAGTGAGCCGAGATCACGCCTTTGCACTCCAGCCTGGGTAACAAGAGCGAAACTCCGTCTCAAAAAAAAAAAAAAGAAAATACCCTGTTGCATTAATGGCCTATGGCAGTGACTTTTTCTTGAAACCGATGAACTATCACCCTACTTCTTGGCTCTGCCAAATAACCATGCATGGGAGGAGGAAGGAGGAATCAGGAACGGGCCAGAGTTTCACTCTGGCATTTTAAAACATAGAAGATGGACCACATCTCGTTGAATGAGGAGACGAGGCTGATGATAATTTGCTTAGTTGTAGTAGAGGGAAGGGAGGAGGGCTTCAAGAGGGTCAAGCCCCATTTCTCCTATTCAGTTATATGAACTGTAAATCTCAATTTTCTTAGCCATAAAATGGGAAGATAATGCCTAGATATCAGGGCTGGCTGAAGCTTAGCAGAAATTAGATGTGGCCAAAGTGACCCGTCTCTCAAGCCATTTGTGCAAATATGATAATAATGTATAAGGATTTTTCTTTTATCACTGGAGGAGAAAGGGGAGTTTCTGTAACAGGTGTCTTTGAATGTGGGGATCTAAGAGATGGCAGGAGGAAAATGGAAGGGTGGTATGACAACTGTGTCCCATGGCTTGTCCCTCATCCTGGGTATAAGTTTCTCTGTTCCAGACTCCCCCCACCTCTGCCTAATTGAGTGGGGTTTGACGGGCAGCATAGCCTTAAAGCCTAGGTGGCCGGGTGTGGTGGCATACGCCTGTAATCCCTGCACTTTGGGAGGCTGAGGCAGTCAGATCACCTGAGGTTGGGAGTTCAAGACCAGCCTGACCAACATGTAGAAACCCTGTCTCTACTAAAAATACAAAATTAGCCAGGCATGGTGGCGCATGCCTGTAATCCCAGCTACTTGGGAGGCTGAGGCAGGAGAACTGCTTAAACCCAGGAGGCAGAGGTTGTCGTGAGCCAAGATTGTTCCATTGCATTCTAGCCTATGCGACAAGAGCAAAACTTTGTCTCAGAAAAAAAAAAAAAGCCTAGGTGACAAAAGTCTCACCTGAAGATGGAGCAAAGCCGCTGCTGCTGCTCATTCCACCAAAAATCTGCTGCACCCTAAGGGCTCAGGGCAAACACCAGCTGCAACGTACTGCTCTCAGATGGCTTGAAGGCCGTAAGTGAGCAACTTTGAGGACCCAGAGAGTAGAGGGGTGTGTGTACTTATTCCTGAGCCAATCTGAGACAGCTTCTGGGATGCCTAGGAGGCAATAGGGGCGACTTCAAGTGATGAGGATGGGGGTTGGCGGGGATCAGGGCTATTGAGGGCTTGTAGTTCTACGGATGGAGGCTTCATTGTAATGGGACCTTTCAAGTTGGTGAGGCCTGGGGACATGTGAAATACTTGTTCTAGATAGGAGTTCCCTGTGAATTAAAAAGGAGAGGCCAGGCACCGTGGCTCACGCCTGTAATTCCAGCACTTTAGGAGGGTGGCTTATGACATCAGGAGTTCGAGACCAGCCTGGTCAACATGGCAAAACCCCGTCTCTACTAAAAACACAAAAAATTAACTAGGCATGGTGGTGCACCTGTAATTTCAGCCACTCGGGAGGCTGAGGTAAGAGAATTGCTTGAACCTGGGAGGCAGAGGTTGCAGTGAGCCGAGATTGTGCCACTGCACTCCAGCCTGGGTGACAGAGCGAGACTCTGTCTCAAAAAAGAAAGGCCACGTGAAAGCACTTTGCAAATTTTAAAGTGTTATAGAAAAGTGCAGAATTGGTATTGTGAAGAAGACGCATCAAGGGCAGCTCCTGCTAGGGTGACTCTGCCAAGGCCAGACTCAGGTGAGAGGCATCAGGTAACGGGGGTTCCGAAATGCTCCCCAAAGGCTGAGTGCGGTGGCTCACACCTGTAATCCCAGCACTTTGGGAGGCCAAGGTGGATGGATCACTTGAGGTCAGGAGTTCAAGACCAGCCTGGCCAACACAGCGAAACCCTGCTTCTACTAAAAATTCAAAAATTATCTGGGCATGGTGGCGGGCACCTGTAGTCTAAGCTACTCAGGAGGCTGAGGCAGAAGAATCCTTTGAACCCGGGGGTGGAGGCTGTAGTGAGCCGAGATCGTGCCACTACACTCCAGCCTGGGCAATAGAGTGAGTGAGACTCCATCTCCTTAAAAAAAATGCTCCTCAGAGCAACACATGGGAATTTCATTGAGCACCTGCCATGTCCTCAGAATTCTTCTATCTGCTTAGGATTCAAAGATAATTAATTCTCATTCTCATTCTCTGTTCTTCAGGAGCTCACTGTCCAAAGGGAGTCTGTCTCCCAGGTCCACATGCTGAGGCTTGCTCCAGTGTGAATGTGTGCACTGGAAAGAACCCAAACAGCCCCCTGAGAGCTGCCAGGGTTGGCGGGCTTCCGTGAGATCCTCAGGTTTGAGTAGCCAAGCTGGGAGGAGCACCATTTGCCCACGGACTCTTGGGCAAGGCTGCAACCTGCATCCCAGCCAGCAGAAAGCAGGTGGCATCATAGCTGAGTTTACCGCCACTGCAGGGCCCACTATCTGCTGCTTTTAGTAGATAACATGCCTTCTCTGCTTCAGATCCTTATTTTGCTTACTTAAAATTTCTGCAGAAAACAAACAGCTTCTGCCAAAACTGGCTCACAACATTAGTTTGCTAGTATAATCAGTTGTATAGCAAGAATGTACTGAGTAGCTCTTGGAAGGCAGTCAACACAAGAGGGATGCACCATTCTTCCAGGTCATCACACATGGGTTAGACATGCTAACAGTCCCCAGCAGCTATCAGGTGAGTATGTGGATGATTATGCAAAGGCAGAGGCATTGCAGAAGGATGCTAGCTAGATGTCACGAGTCAAGGATATTATAGAAGGATCTCTTTGCTGACAAGAAGGGCACCTCTAAGGTTCCTTCAGATGGGTTGGTTCTCTGTTCACTGTGATCACTGCTATGCAAAGGCCTGTGGGCCATTCAGGAGAAAAGCATTCAGTCCAGTTCTATAGACACAGTGAGCATGTGATATGCCCTAGGCATATATGAGTAATATACCAAATAGGAAATACACAGTTACTGCTGTCAGGAACTCATGACCTGCTGCAGCGGTTGGCAAAGTATGGCTTGTGGGCCAATCTGGTTATTTCCGTAAATAATGTTTTACCAGAATCCAGACACACCTGTTTGTTTACATATTGTCTACGGCTGCTGAGCACCCACGATAAGAGCAAAGTTAAGTAGTTGTGACAGAGACCTTATCACCCACAAAACCTGTAATGTTTGACTGGATAGCCCTCAACAGAAAAGGCCTGCCAACATCTAGTCTTGTGGGAGAACACTGCTGTGCACAGTTAACTCTAATTCTTGGCTGTAGCGTCTTGAATAGGGCGGCGATCCATCGGTGCTGAGGGGGACAGCTGGCCAGCTGCCTCCCAGGGGCGTTTCCACGACTTGCAGGCCCAGAAACTACAGTTGGGAATGACCACAGAGTTTGTGATGGACTGACAGATGCCAAAACCACAGACTGACTTACAGGCTAGAAATGAACACATTGGGTGGAATAGCCCTTTTAAGGACTAGAGTAATTGCTAGAGAGCCACCCTTTCTGCAGAATACAGCACGCATTCAAGTGAAACTACTTACACAGAGACTTTCTGATGAGCATGACTAGACAGCAGGGGGCCCTAGAATAGTTTGTTCAGGTTAAGGTGAGAGGAGGGGAGAATCTAGCCCTGTCCCTTGCTGGATGCCACCACTCCAGTGCCTGAAATCCAACCTCTCCACCCTAATCTCAATAGTCCTCCCCTGGAAAAGACTGAAAAATGCAAGAATGTGCTGCTTTGACTCTGGCCCTCCTCTAACAGCCCTGCTTCTGTTCACACAGACTTTCTGCAGCTTCCTTAACGTCACTGGCTAGAGGATACAGCTGTTGCTAGTAAAAGGCATTGTTCTTTGAGCTAGCAGGCACTTTGTTCTTTTCCATGACACATTGTTTTATGAGCCCACTCTAGGGAAGAAACTGTCTATCCCTGTGCTCTGGTTCTTCAGGAGCACCTCACTGTCTCCCTCTGCCCACCCACCTGCACCTGACTACCATGGGCTGTGCCCTCATGGAGGCACCATCAAATGCTATCAGACCACAGGGAGAGCACCCTTCATCCTGTCTGAAGGTTTGGGAAAAAAGCTTCTCAGAAGAAATGATACTTGATACGGGCCCTGGAGGAGGTGGAGCAATTTGAGAAGAGAGCAGTGAGAGATGGCATCCAGGCAGGTGAGAAATGTCAGTGGTCATAGAGGCAGCATGAAGGGAGTGTTGGCTGCAGAAACCTGACGAGGCTCTTAGAGCTGGAGAGGGAGATGGGGAGGGAGATGGAGAGGATAGAGACAGACAGACTGAAGAGGGCAGAGCAGGGCTATGGGGAAGCGTGATGAGGCAGGAAAGAAAGACAGATCAAACGTGACTGAGAGGAGCCTGTGTGCCTGGGCTTTATTTTGGAGGCAATGGGAAACAGAAAGGGTTTTTGAGCATGATAGGACAATGAGGAGTTCTGTGGTTTAGGAAACCCTGCAGCCACGTGAAGTGCAGATTCAAAGTAAGGAAACTTCCCAGGGTTTGCTGATGATCTTAGTGAGAAGTGGCACAGGGGTGGTGGGAATGGAATTGAAAGAAAGGATGAACTTCCAGAGTGTGGCTGAGCTCAGTAAACAGGAATCAGGGAGGGTAGGAGGAGAGTAAAAGACTCCTCTGAGCCTAAATCCAGATGTCGAGGAGATGGTGGTACTGTCAATGGAGTTGGAGCTCTTAGGAAGAACAATGGGGAAGAAAAGGATGAGGTTTTTGACAAGTCGAATATGGGGTGAGCAGAGATCCAACTGAAAGCAGTGGAGATACAGATGTGAAAAATAAATGCGGTAGCACTGAAAAGTTGGGGCTCATTTTCACCTTAATGTTAGCTGAGGTAAAGAGAAGAGAGGTCATCCAGGACAAATGAAAAGAAAAAGCAACCAAGCATGAAATCTTGGAGAATAATGTCCTTATTTAAGGGTGAGCAGATGAAGAGGAGCCCACAGAAGAGACTGAGGGACTGTCTTCCTTCACTCATTCATGCATGCATTCATTTGGTCAACAAATATTTTTTGGCACCACCCACGGACAGATTTTGAGCACCAAGGGTACACTCAGAAATGATGAGTCCAGAAATGGTGCCCTCCAGAACTTCCAGTGACGAAGGCACTCAGGAAAATGCAGCGCCCTAAGGGGTCCCAGAAAAGGCAGTCAGGAAGAACACAGTCTGGTAGTGTCAAGTGCAGTGGAGGCTAAGAGGTAGGGAGGAAAAGATGGGAAACGGGGAGAACTGGGGAGGCAAGAGGGACAAATGAGGGAGAAGAGAAGGGAGAGGAGAGATGGCAGAGGCGCAGAGCGGGAATTTCTGATTCACGAATCCTAGGCTGGGCTCAGTGGCTTATGCCTATATCCCAGCACTTTGAGAGGCCGAGGCGGGTGGATCACCTGAGGTTAGGAGTTTGAGACCAGCCTGGCCAACATGGTGAAACCCTGTCACTACTAAAAATATAAAATTTGTTGGGCATGGTGGCAGGTGCCTGTAGACCCAGCTACTTGGAAAGCTGAGGCAGGAGAATCACTTGAACCCAGGAGGTAGAGGTTGCAGTGATTTGAGATTGCCCCACTGCACTCCAGCCTGGGTGACAGAGAGAGACTCCATTTCAAAAACAAAAGAAGAAAGAATCCCATGTTCTTTCCCCTGGCCTTACCTTAGAAAGCAGAGTAAGTGCTGACTTAAACAGGTTTACCTCCATTGCCATAGCAACCTCTGGGACTGGCTTTGCTGTGCCTTCTTGAGACCAGAAGTGAATAAGTTACTTTATATCAAGTTACCTACCAATTAGGCTAGTGATTTCTTTTTTAAAAACATTCTTTTAAAGCCTTGCCATGTTTTCTCTTTCGATAATTTATTTTTCACCTCTTTATTCACTGGGATTCTGGACCATAATATATGTAAACACAAAAAATACTAAAGCTGGGGCCGGGCACGGTGGCTCAGGCCTGTAATCCCAGCACTTTGGGAGGCCGAGGCAGGTGGATCACGAGGTCGAGAGATCAAGACCATCCTGGTCGACATGGTGAAACCCCGTCTCTACTAAAAATACAAAAAATTAGCTGGGCATGGTGGCACATGCCTGTAATCCCAGCTACTCAGGAGGCTGAGGCAGGAGAATTGCCTGAACCCAGGAAGCGGAGGTTGCAGTGAGCCGAGACCGCGCCATTGCACTCCAGCCTGGGTAACAAGAGCGAAACTCCGTCTCAAAAAAAAAAAAAAACAAAAAAAACCACTAAAGATTGAAAATAAAATTATTCTATTATCTGATTATAAAAGTGGTCATTGTTAAAAAAAAAAAAAAGCCTTAGAAAATACAATATAAAGCAGAAAATACAAATCACTCATTTTCCCACCACTTTTAGTAATTCATTGTTTTTCTTCCCAATCTGGCTTCTAGCCACATTTTATTGCATTTAAATATATTTTTATTGTTTATATACAGTTTCATATATGGTTTTGTTTGCTAACTAATTACATCATGGACATTTCCCCATGTCACTAAAATAACTATACAATCATTTCATTATACATAAACGTCACATTTTAGCTCTTCCTCTATTTTAATGCAGCAAATTGTCCACCTTTATATATAAATTGTTGTTCCTGAATCTTAAAAATAGTCAAATTCATTCACACTTCAAAATAATTTTTGTATTTTTTCTTAGAATCTTTGTGTTTAAATTAATGTCTCATACATTTCAAAGAGCACTATTAATACGATTGAAAGTGATCACAGCATCTTTTATCTCCAAATGTAAGTTATTTTGAAATGTGATCTGATTTTATTTTGTAAATTCCATTATTAAGAAAGTTGACCCAAATTTGAGAAATGATACATTTAGTCTTGACTCATGTCATTTAGCCCTAGGTTTCCATCAGTGCTTGCTGGAATTCCATGGTTTTAGCACTGGTGGAACTGCTAATTTAAAAATCTGCTTTTCCAGATCTTTAAATTTGTCAGAGAATTTTAATCTTTAACCTAAGTTTTTTCCCTCATTTCTCATTTTACATTTATTTATTTTCTTAGCTTCATTATGATATATGAAACTAACATATCCTTTGTATGAGGATTCAGTGGTTACACCAGATAGCGAACAGGAAATTATTTTTTGCTTGTTGGAAAAATTCACTTGCCTTATGTAGCTTTTCCCATTATTTTACTCTCAAATATCTGGTGTACCCCTGTTTTACCTGTGTTTCTTATAAGAAGACTATGGTTGGACTTTAAAAAATTAACTGTCTTTTAACTGATAAGTATAATTCATTTTTATTTAATTATGATCATTGACATATTTGGATTTATTTTTACTATCTTCTTACACTTTCTATTTGTCCTGTAAAATTCCTACTCCATTTTTCTCCTCTAATATTTTGGAATGTATAGATTCTAATTTTTTAATGGTTAAAGGTATTAATTATATTCACCCTCTTAAAACTTAGAATATTTTAACTCTTTCTCAGGTTATAAGCTAGTATTGTCCAGTATTTTATTTCTATTAAAAAGTCTTGTGGGCCTGGTGCAGTCGTTCATGCTTGTAATCCCAGCACTTTGGGAGGCTGAGGTGGGTAGATCACGAGGTCAAGAGATCAAAACCATCCTGGCCAACCTGGTAAAACCCCGTCTCTACTACAAACACAAAAATTAGCAGGGAGTGGTGGTGCGCACCTGTAGTCCTAGCTACTCAGGAGGCTGAGGCAGGAGAATCACTTGAATCCAGGAGGTAGAGATTGCAGTGAGCCAAGGTTGTGCCACTGCACTCCAGCCTGGCGACAGAGCGAGACTCTGTCTCAAAAAAAAAAAAAAAAAGTTCTTGTGAAATGTATCATATATAGAAGAGTTTACAACATGTATGTGTGTTCTATATATATTTACCATTTTTAAAAATAGGCTATAACCTCTGCTTTAGAAGCTCATCTCCCCCAACCTCTGATTTTTATAACTTCACAAATTAGATTTATTAGTGTTGATTATTTAGATGTATCCATGTAACTACAAATGTCTTTGATCACATGGTTATCTTTCTTTCAACTTACAGCTCACATCTCCCTTCTGGGGTCCTTTTTCTTCTTTCCAAAGTATATATATCCTCAAGAAGTTCCTTTACTAAAGATCTGTTCATAGTAAATTATCCTGGCTTTTGTTCACCTAAATATATTCTATTGCATTCCCATGAAAGGTAAGTTTTACTGGGTATCCAATTATAAATGGAAACATTTTCCCCAGTATTTGAAGACATCATCTTTTGGTTTCTGCTTATGTTGATAAGAAGTTAGATGTAAAACAGGAAATCTGTCTTATTTTTATGCTATTCAATTTGTCTTTAATGTTCTTTCATTTCACCAGGATAAGTCTGGGTGTTAATATGTTTTAGGATTTTTTTGTACTTCCTTAATATAAGGGTCTACACAAATTACTGAATATTGTTTCCATCTCATTTTCTCTAGTCACTCTTTCTGGAACTTTTATTATGTAAATGTTAATTATATAATATATAATACTATATATTATATATAATTATATAATTATGTAATATATAATACTATATATAATATGTATAACATATAATTCTCACTTAAATTTTCATGTCTATATCATGATATCCTTCTCTTTTTCTCTCTGTACTATATTCTAAGTAGTTTTGGCTTACTCACCTTTCAATTTATTAATTATGGATTTCATTTCTAATTCGTTAGTCAAGTCATATGTTGAATTTTAAAATTCAACTATTTTACTTCCAGAAGTTGTGAATCTTTTTTGATGCTTATAACAGTATATTGTTCCTTGCTCATGTTTTTAAAGTTTTTATTAAATATTGAAGATATATTTATTTATAAGCTATAGCTGTCTGGCACACTCTTTGGTTTTGTAAATATAGTTTTATTAAAACACAGGCAAGCCAATTCATTTACATACTGTCCATGGCTGCTTTTATACTAGAATAGCAAGGCTGAGTCTTTTTGACAGAGACTGTATGGCTTGCAAAGCCTAAAAGGTATACTATCTGGACTTTTAGAGAGAAGTTTGCCAACCTTGCTGTATGTGATAATTCCAACCCAAAGCCTGAATGTCTGATTCTAGTGTTTGATGTTTCTAACCCTGTCTGATGATGTCTTACGCCGTGGGTGGTCTTGTGATTTGTAAAAAAATTGTGAGCTCATTTTTGTTGAGGCATTAGCTGTGAGAATTTTATGAGACTTGAATTGGAGAATATTCGTTCTATTTGTATTTACCTTTGCCAAGTGCCTGGTCATTTTAAATTAATTTTTTTGGTTTGTTTGTTTAAAATAGTTTCAGAATAGGTACACAGAGTGAGTCTGAACCCAGGCTTGAGGCCCGATTGGTGATTATTTATAACTTTTGGTAGGGGGTAGGGACTTTTATTTTTTCTTCCAACCAAAATCAAGGCTAAGATGCAAAATTTTCTTTGCTATTTCCTTTGCATGGCAAATATTTTCTAGTTCACTATTTTATTGGGAATGTGGGCCTTTGGGACTCATTCCAAAGTCTCCAAGCAGGACACTACACTGCTTTGTCGCCTGCCTCCCCTGTCCCCCTTCCCCGGCATGGATGTAAAAACTAAAAACTCTAATTTACAAAACACTGGCAAATGCCCTCAGGGTCTGATGCCTGCTCCAGTGAACATTTACCATGCTTATTCTGAATTCTGGCTTCCAACTTCATTTTTGGCCTCTGGGGATTAAGATACTTTAATTTCTTGCCAAGTTAGCTACTCATTTTATCCAGCATTTTAAAGGTGCTTTTCGGGGGAGAATTTTCAGGATATAGAGTCTGGCATATTGCTGGAAGCAAACATCAGAAATTTTTAAATGAAAAAAACACACAATTAGGAAAATGGAAATAGAAAAGTTTCATAACACTCCAACAGTATTCCAAGCCTACCTAGTGTTTATTTATATCTGAGTTATGAGTGTTGTCTCTGGAGTCAGACAACCTGGGTTTGGAACCAGGCCCTGCCATTTACTACTGCTAGGGGTGAGAGTGGGCAAACTTTTTCTGTTAAGGGCCGGATGGTAAGTACAGTGGTCCCTTAATATGCATAGGGGATTACTTCCGGGATACCCCATGAACAACAAAATCCATGGATGCTCAAGTCCCTGATACAAAATGGGGTAGTATTTTGATATAACCTATGTATATCCTCTCGTATACTTTCAGTCATCTCTAGATTACTGATAATATCTA